CATAGGTTGCTGGCCCCTGCTTTAACTATTAGAAGTATCAAACCTGTTGATCATCAGTAAATCAATACTATTAAAAAACAAAACAAAAACCCTTCACTGCTATTTTGCAATCTTTACAAATGTCCAACCCTAGTTCCACTGTTTCAGTGAGACCTACGGTATCTTAAAACAATGCATTCTGGAATGGTAGTAACATCATTTTAATATAAAGAGCATGAGTAATAACTAGAATGTCAACTTAATGTTTCAATACCATCATCTTTCCTAATTTCAGAACTCTGTTGCAAAGCTTCAAACTGATTCTTGCCAATACAAACCCAACCATCTTTTTCATTCGAACAGATTACACAACACAAGGCTGATTTAATGTACCATCGTTTACAGCAGGGAATACAATGTAGCAGACAGGTTAAGATAAAGATCAACAGGTTATGAAATGGATTAAACAATAAGGTAAAGAGAAATGAAATGTAAAGACTAGACTTTTTAACAGCGCAATCCTATCCACACTGATGCATACGTAAGTCCCACTGAATTTAATTAGATTTATTGGGGAATAAATCTCACTAAACACAGTAGAATTTATTTGGAAAATAGGAATGTTTAAGATTGCAATCTAAATTGTTTTACCATGCTGCTTCCTGACAGAAGAAGACCACTCTAAAATTAAGGGTTTTTAGTACTCATTCTAAACACATTTATTGGAAACAAGTCCCACCACTTCTATTGAAACCACTTGTGATCAGTTGTGCAGAGTTAGAATATACACAAACAGGACTGTTCTAATTTGTTTCTTGTCGTTGTTGTTTTAGCAGTCACTTGATGACTTTCAGGCGGCAATATTCTTAGAAGGAAATTCTGTTAAATCTCCTGGTCGTTTTCAAGTAAAACAACCCGGATCTCGGAAATATTACACTGTTATGCTAATAGACACTTCAGGCAATTTGCTCACAGAGAAGGAACACCGACTGCATATCCAACATTTACCAGTTTTTTTAATGACAACGATGCATGGATGTTCATTCACACAATTCAGCGCCACTCGAGAAAATCAGCCAAGAGTTGCAAATTGTCATGTTATCAGGTTTAATATGTTTTGTTCCTTTCAGTAACCATTCACAATGAGCACCCACTTATAAGCAATCTTGGTTGGCTCTGAAGTTGAAAGTACTCACTTCTTCAGGAATTAATATATGCAGAAAGCTACACATCGGTGCACACTTGTTTTGTTTTTTGATCATGTACTATGCTTGAACTACAAAGCTTTGGTTACAATGTTTTTTAAAAAAAACACAGAACGAATGTTGTACAATTTATTTTTGGTGCCGAGCCCAGCATATGTTTTACATCAGGGAAGGGGATAATGGGGCTCACTATGCAACTTTAGCATTCCTCACCACTGGCAATGCTGGCGGGGGCTGCTGGGAGCTGCAGTCCACCAATGTCTGAAGGGTCACAGAAATCTCAATCCTGTTTCCCATACACAGAAGTGCCATCATTTGAGCACATAGTTGCTACAAAGCCTTGTGTCTTCCAAGTATGGTTTCAATTTCCTCTTCAGCTAATGGAGAGGTTATTGATGCCAATGACACTAACCACTAGTAACCCTAAATTCTCAGGACAAGAACACTCAGTGCTACTCTGAAAGGCCTTATTTACTTATTTGCGCTGGACAAACTTCCAAATGAAATGCATTGACGATTTTTGAGAGCGTATCATGCATCCGGCCAGCATTTGGAAAGAACATCAAATAGAAGTAAAAGATTTACCTATCTGAGAAACTAGACCTTGATCTAGACCTACTTATTATTCAATCAATATCAAATTAAAGTCTTATTCTTTACTTACGAGTAAATAAGATAAGAATAATTGATTTTGCACATCTAAAACAAAGGAAGCTAATGTTTGGTAATGAAGCACAGTCACAAATGAATCAAACACATCTAGAAAATGCAT